GAGAGAGAAGTGGGATGGGCGAGCAGCGCTGGGGATGATGAAACGTACATTTTTCCGTTGCTTTTTTCGACACCGATTGATCTGTGTAAGTGGTCACTCCTGAAGAGCTGAAAAAGACCAAACCGAAGCAGTGGTGCTGTCAGTGGAAGGTTCTAGAACTCATTCATGTATGAGTGTATGGCTGCAAATAGTCAGACTGTATCTTGGATATCTTATCTGATCATGGAATCATCTTGGTTTTATTCATTTTGCTGTCCAGGTCAGTCCATGCAGCATTAATCTGCATATCAGAACTAAAAAAATTAACTACATTTTACTTTAATTTAACTAAAAAGTAAAAGCATAATTTTGGTCCAAAGAAGACAAATTTGCTGTGTATTATTAACATAGTATAATATATACTGTTTAATATAGATGATATAATATACATCTGGCTGAAATTGCACTACTTTCAAAGGTAGACTAAATTTAATATATTTATTAATTTATGCCCTTTTATTAAAAAAGACCATTTTAATTCAGATGTTACATTATATTATAATTATTATAATAATTATGCGTCTACTAAATGGCTATTTCAGTTAAAAGACCATTTTTAATTATATTATTTAACATTAATCCAAAAAATATGCATTTTAACTTTTTTAATTTTTGCAAAACGAAATATGAACAAAAACACCTCCTACACACAATCAAGTACTGGAAGTCTTGTGACATCATTACCCCATTAGCCTCAAGTACAATAACTCCATTATGATTCAGGCCACAGCGATTCCATTCAGAGATGTTCTCTTTGTCATTCTGAGAATTGAGAAAGAGCTCTCTTGCTTCCAGTATTGGACCCGGTTTAGGTCCAGAAAGCTCTATTAACCTGCATCTGGGACTCAGTGTAACTAAAATAGTATTGATCAGAAAAGACTGAGTTTTGTCTGTCCTACTTTACTAAATGAAATGTCACTGTCTTGCACCTTAAACATTTTCCATATATAGCTCAGACATGATGCTGTTGATTATACTGAATATATAGTTTTCACCTCTCTAAATCCGTTCTTTTTCTAGTCAGGCTTGTGCTAATGAGGCTGCAGAGAGGTGGACAGCTGCTCAGTAGGGTTCCAGTCTATCCCGTGGTTAGATGAGTCAAAGATCGGAAGGGTGGGTGGAAGGATTAAGCACGGCACGTGAGTGAGACTTTCCATTTGGCAGAAGACGATGCATAGCAGAGAAATGCCAAGTAAACATCCCAGTGGGAAGGCAAACATATGTGGATCTGGAGCCAGAATTTTATAGTCTTATCAAATTTATTATAAATCCATGATCGAAATACAACAACGGCAGTATGGTATAAAAAAAACTACGCAAAGTAACATGAGCATTATTGATGGTGGTGGTGGTGGGGTAGAGGTTTGGAATGACTGAGTGGTTACCGAATAACAACAATGAATAGAAACAATACTGAATGCAGAGATGGATTATACATAGTGGAAAATTAAAAGAGGCTTTTTGACACTAAGAACATACAGAGATACTTTTTACAGCCTTGATATTGTTATTGCTACATTTATTTGAATAGGAGGGATTAATTATAATTGCTGACATCTGAACTGGAAGATCAAACCAATGGAAAGAGTCTGCAGAGCTGCAGCCCTCATCCTGAGAAAGAGGCTATTTTTAGAAATGACAAAAGACAGTTTACATTGGTTGTACAGCAGGTTTGGAATCACACTCTCAGAATAAAAGGTACAAAAGCTGTCACTGGGGCGGTACCTTTTCAAAAGGCACACCTTTGTACCTAAAGAGTCCTTATTGGTACCTTAAAGATGCATATAAGCACCTAATGTGTACATATTAGTACCTAAAAGGTACAAAAGTGTACCTTTTCAAAAGGTACCACCCTAGTGACAGCTTTTGTACCTTTTTTTTCTGCATAGTGCAGGTAGTAACTTTGCCATTTTCCGTATGACACAATATAGTGGGTTATCTTGCTGACATTTTGTCCTTAAAATATAGTGCCTGTCTCTAATAGCCTTTTTATTATTAATGTAGAGGTTTTATAAGTTGGTACATCTCTCATGAAAATGACTTCTCTACAATCTTGGTAATGATGTCTGTCAGTTGGCAGACATATCCAGCTCATAAGCCCTCCTTGTTGGATGAATCAATCAGTGCTCTTCCACCCCCTTTTTCCCTCTCTGTGCATCTCTACATCTCTCTCAGTTAAAAGGCATGAGGCCCAACGTAGATGGTCAAGCGCAGGACAGAACTGGTGTGGTAGCTCACGAGCGGGTTCATAGAAACCATCTCCAGATCCAGCACATACTCTCTGGGACCATTCACGGCACGGGCGAGAACAAGCATGGCGCTGATGTTGTTGATTTGCTGAGGAAACAGATATGACAGGCACAAGGATCATTTCAAATTTTGGCTCTATAAGAAATGTATTAGTCTACTGGCAGGAATCAAAGGTGTCTTCCTGATTAGGGTCTGTAACATTTTTAAAACTGAAGTCTCATGCTCACCAAGGCTTACTGACTCTCCACTTTTGAACTGTAGTGTATATATTGAAGAATATATTTTCCCAATGGGGTAAGAAACAAATGAAACCTTATTTAAGATATAAATTTAGCTTGTTTTGAGGGTGTTCAGATCAGTGTTCTGGAAAGCGACAAAATAATAATAAAAAAATGCTGTATATCTGTTTTCAGTATAAGAAGATTATACACTAAATAAAGTTAAATAATTTTTAAATTACCCTGATGTAAAAGTCTCCATTGTCATCTCCAGAGCGGATACGGAAGGTGTTGTAGGCTCCAGGTAAGACACTGGTGGCCTGGATCTGAAAGATATCTGAGGGGACAGAGCGCTCGGACGTGATGCTCATGTAGCGATGCACAATGGAGTAGGGCATGTCTCGACAGCCAGGCTTTGTGATAGGACATGTACAGCGGCTGAATGAAGAGAGCAAATTGTATCAGTTAAGAAAGATTTCAACTAAGTTGTTAAGGACAAAATGTAAGCGAGTTGAATAGATTTGAACTGACCTGCACTGAAAAGAATCAATACGCTTTTGCAGAACTGGCCTGTTTTAGAGTGAACTCAACCAGTAACATTTTACATGACTTACATTGAATTGAATTAAACTTGTTTGAATTAAGCTGAACTGAAAGGAGATATATAAACTAAATAGTACCCACAAGGTTAGGTTTTTGCATGACTAATAACTATGTTAGCCACAACTGTACCAAATTATACAAGTATGTGTACCATATGTCCAGCAAATTGGCTTAAAATTTTGGATGCCATCCATCTAGCCAGATATTTCTTCAGAAATGCCTGACCACCTGTTATTCATTTCAAGCTTGTGGAAATGCAGATTATGTTGAGACATGCTTAGAAGCACAGACTGAAGAACTGGCCTCAGATATGGAAAAATAAACGGGTCCATAAAAAAAAAAAAAAACATGTCAGGTATGTCTCAAATAGACACTACTGATGAACAATAGACAATTATGTAGAAGAATATATTTCATAAATGCTGACGCATAACTGTGTGTGAACTGAATAGCCTGCAAGTGCTTGTGGTATTTCCAAATTGTTTACTTACTCTGACACTTGTACGTAGGGTTCCTGACAGCTTTTGTTGTCAACACACTTGTGACCTCCATGAATGTTCACACAAGTCTGTCCATCAGAGCACTGATGAGCTCCTGTCTCACATTCATTTATGTCTAGATTCAAAAGAGAAAAAAAGAATGTCTCTTTGTCCTATGAGTGAATTGGGAAGCAGAGTGTGCAGTGAGAGAGCGTTAAATTGAGGTGAACCTTGGCAGAGGCGCGTGCCCAGGAGCTGATATCCTTCAGGACAGACACAGGAGAATTTGCCGTGCTCATTAACACACTGATACTGGCACAGGTAACTGGAGTAGCTGCACTCGTCTATGTCTAAACAGAGAATGAATATGATCATTTGCTCCTGTTGTAAGATGCATAAACATTTTTCTCTAATATGTGTATTTATTTTAGTTTTTCACATTTGTTTGTGTTTACTCCCAGCTTACCATTGCAGGCAAAGCCATCTGGCCCCAGCTCATAACCCTGCTCACATCGACACAGGAACGTCCCGTACGTGTTATAACACCTCTGACTGCAGGGGGCCCCCATGCTACACTCATCAACATCTGAACGCAACAGAATGACAAAGCAGACAGGATTGTATATGAAAACACTAAACGTAACGTAAGGCAAACAGTGAAGGATTACAAAAGATTATGTAAAATAAATACTTTCTGAGCTGGACTGGTTATTTTTGTTTGCATAAATAAATATCTGATCAATTTAAGTGGCCACTTAAGCAAAATCAAGAACTCCTCATTTGTTTTAGGGATACCCTAAAGGAAGGAAGTGTTTTGCTTAATTTTAGAGCACCCAATGAGTCAAAATTGTCTTAATGCACATTCCTGGTATTATTGTGTACAATTAATCAGTGCATGATATTCTACATAAAAATATCATCCTAATAAACTGAAATAAAAAAACTGGAAGGAATAGTTTACACAAAAATGAAAATTTAACATTACATCACTTGCTCACCAATGGATCCTGAATGGGTGCCATCAGAATGAGAGGTCAAACAGCTGATAAAAACACCACAATAATCCACAAATAATTCACATGACTCCAGTTCATCCTGTTGACATCCCATGAAACTATGCGATTGTAAGAAACAAATCATCATGAAGACATTTTAACTTTAAACCACCACTTTTGGCTTCGGACTGTTTTTGCTTATAAACGTCCTTGTTCTGTATATATTACTCTGATGATTTAGACAAGATTACTTTTTCACTGGAGAAAGCAATATTATAGAAAGAGGACTTGTATTTTAGTCAGAAGCAATTTTGAAGTTAAAAGTCTTGATGGATTTATTTCTTATAAATTCATAGCCTAGCTTTTCACTTCACAAGATATTAATTGATGGACTGGAGTTGTGTGGATTATTGTGACGTTTTAATCAGCTGTTTGGACTCTCATTCTGATGGCACACATTCACTGCAGAGGAGAAATTGATGAGAAATTGATGTAATGCTAAATTTCTCCAAATCTGTTGTGATGAAGAAACAAACTCATCTATATCTTGGATGGCCTGAAGGTACATTTTCAGCAGATTTTCTTTTCAGGGTGACCTATTCCTTGAATCAGTATTACAAAACGTGTAATCAATATGTTAAAAAGCAGAATGGCTATTCTGACAATATTGTAGAAATCTTGAATTCATCTTGACTCCATTCTGGTGCATAGCATTCACTTTTCATGATCCAATCAATTACTGATGCATAAAATCAAGTCCCATCCTACTTTTTCATGTTGATTATCCTGTTGCACTTGGAAATGCATCCAATTATGCAAGTTAAATGTGCTGCAAACAGCAAGTCACACTGACTTTAATGTCTCGCTTTCTCATTTTCCACCATGCACAAAGTGCTCTTTTACTGGTGTATATTTTGTCTTTTACCCAAAGAAAATGAGGTGTAGGATGGAGTTGGGGGGGGGGGGTTGGCCTATGACTCAGGGTATGGCAAAACGGGGCGTGGAAGTGAGCATGTGGGTTGGCTTACCAATACAGGAGCGATTGTTGCCAGCCAGCTGGAAGCCAGGCTCACACTGGCAGGAGAATGAGCCAGGGACATTAACACAGCGATGTTGACAGTAGCGGTACCGGCACTCGTCAATGTCTGAAAAGTATTAAAACAAAATTAGATCACATATAAATTATTTTTATTCTTTATTGGTATGACTGAACAGACAATGATATATGATCTTGCCATTTTATGTAATTTAAGGCACACTATACTCATAAACTGGAATCCTCTCTGGGACTTAACCCTGGGAACAACTTAGTAAATCAGTAATTATATCAATAGGTGTGTATACAAAATTCCTACATTTCAAAAGCGTTTACTGATATTATTTATAGATATTTATATTATAAATATTAAGATAATATCCCAATAATAAATTGATATAATTAAGATAATATAATATGACATAAAAGATAATATTTAAAGATAATATTAGCTCTTGTCAAGCTAGTAATATCTCTGCAGGTACTGGAGCGAACTTTATTGACTCTTTTTGCCTGCAAACATCAATTAATATTGAAATTGCACCCAATCCAAACTTTAAAAGATTAGTTCACCCAAAATGAAAGTCTACCAACATTTACACCTTCATGACATCGTACCAGTTGAGATGCATCTTGATTTCACCATATTTGCATGTAAATGAACCAGCTTCAATGCAGAGGAGGTTTACATGGTTTTATATTTTGGTCTGTTCCTCACTTAAATCAATCGTATGGCTTTAGATGACTTGCATAAAAGATATTTTAAGAATATGGATAACCATACAGTTGATGGACCTCATTGACTTCCATAGTATGGGGGAAAAAAATACTGTGGAAGTCAATGGGAACCATTGACTGTTTGGTTACATTTTTCAAAATATCATCTTTTGTGCTCAACAGAAGAAAGAAACTTGAGCGTGAGTAAATGATGACAGAATTTTCATTTTTGGGTGGACTACCCCTTTAAGCACACTTCTTTTTTCACAAGGAAGTCTTGGAACGACTTGAGTATAAATAAATGAGTATAAATAAAAATCTTTGTGATTGATTTTTTTTTTTGGAGAGATGAACAATGTTGTGGTATTACTACAACATTAGACTGGCTTTTTCATTTCTCACCGATGCATTCTGTCCCCACTTTGCGATACCCATCTGGACACTGGCAGGAGAAGGAGCCTTCTGTATTGAAACACTGCTGACTGGGCTGGCAGTCGTGACTGTCCTGTTCACACTCATCCACATCTGTTTTTGTGAGACAGAATCATGGAAATTTATTGTGGACACATCACTGGTTCGATTTTTATCTTTCTTTGTCTTCTCAGTTTTAGCACTGGAGCTGCCATAACTGTGGAATGAAGTTATTGCAGCATTTATTGGTTCACAGCTCATGAGAAGTGAACGCTGTGTCTACATAGCGGTCTTGAGTAACGCTATCTCTATTCACTTCCTATTTATGGTAGACGACAGCTGGGATGCCTCAGTCTTAGTAAATTCTTCGACCCCCTGCTTACCAGCCCCCTGCCAATACTTCAGCACAAATCCCACAGTTGCCTCATTGCAAAAACTAGCTGACTATTTCCCCTGACCACCTGTTTCTGTCTGAGTCATTCAAGCGCTAACAGTCAAAACTAAAACACTGCATGCAATAATCCCCCCTTTCACCATCTTATTCACTAATACAACCGATTTGCATTTTCAGTTTGATCCGAACACACATGACATGCCTCGGTGAATTTGTGTAATGGCATGCTACTGTTTACAAAGCTGATTCCCACAAACTCGCAGGTCGTCTGACACCTGTTCTGAAAACACACGCTTGTTTTCACACACTCACCCACGCAGCTGTCTCCCTGGGGCTCAAAACCTGGAGGGCACGGGTTGAATGGCTCGCTGGCCGTGTTCTCCAGGCTGGGGGGGATCTGGTTGGGTGGTTCAGGGGCAGGGATGACCGAGGCAGAGCGAGGAAGGCACAGGTACCCGCCATAGTGGTTGAAGCACTTCATCTCTCCCTTACAGGCCTCTGGGATTGTCTCACATTCATTTATATCTGCAGACACACATTCGAAGCAGAATACACAGGCGTTTGTGAGTAAAAAGCACACTATATGATAACAGTTAAGAGTTACATAACACTTATAAAGACATACATATATTATAAACTAACATAGCAACAGTTATTTATCACTAAATTTATAAGCTTTCAGTATGCCAAATTATATAAATTAAAATATATAGTGAAGTTACGTGACATGTGGCCAAGTATGGTTACCCATGCTAGGAATTAGTGCTCTGCATTTATCCCATCCAAAGTGCACACACACAGCAGTGAACACACACACACCGTGAACACACACCCGGAGCAGTGGGCAGCCATTTATGCTGCGGCGCCCGGGGAGCAGTTGGGGGTTTGGTGCCTTGCTCAAGGGCACCTCAGTCGTGGTATTGAAGGTGGAAGAGAGCATTGGGGAGTGAAGGTGTACATTCACTCCCCCCACCTACAATCCCTGCTGGTACGAGACTCGAACCCGCAACCTTTGGGTTACGACTCCGACTCTCTAACCATTAGGCCACGACTTCCCCTAATGTATAGTAATGTACATTACCATTGTTCTAATATACTAGTCTCTTATGCTCACAAAGGCTGCATTTATTTAATTAAAAATACAGTAATATTTGAAATATTACAATTTTAAAAAAATATTTTAATATATTTTAATACCAAATTTATTCCTGTGATGGCAAAGCTGAAATTTCAGTCTTCAGTGCCACATGATCCTTAAGAAATCTTTCTTATATTCTGATTTGGTGCTCAAGAAACATTTCTTATTACTATTAATGTTGAAAACAGTTGTGCTGCTTAATATTTTTGTGGAAGCTGTGATACGTTTTTTTCCTTATGATTTTTTGATGAACAAAGTTCAAAAGAACAGCATTTATTTGAAATAGGAATGTTTTGCATTGGGACCCTTTGAATTAGATGTTTTAAGTGTTTTGAGGGGACATGTTTTACCTTTGCAGTGTTGAGTCTGTGGATCCCAGTGATATCCATCTGTACATTCCTATAGAAAAAACACATTAATTAGTGCATAGTAACACACTTTACATGTAAATTAAACTATGTATATTGCATAGTTACACATAGTATGTGTGAATATAAGATATAAGGATGTAACATACATTATGAAGATGTATTCAGAGAAAAGGGAGGGAGAGAGACAGGGGAAGGTTTCGTTCCTCCTTACCGTGTAGGTGTCAGTTTCTGTGGGTTGCTGTGAAATAGCGTGGTGGAGAAACACAGAGATGCACATACAAAAGACCAAAACACTCCCAGGCTGCATCCTCACACACACCTTCAACACGCTCTGATGAGCACAGGCACAAAAACACCTCCAAGAGTGTTGACTAAAGAGGAGGGATCAGACAGACATGCACTCTCTCTCTCTCACACACACACACACACACACACACACACACACACACACGCTGGTAGAGTCTCTGGTGTGGATTAGATGATGCTGCGATGAAGTTACACTGAGGAATCTGTGGATGAGAAACAAACAGCTTGAGAATACTTCAGAATCAAGATTTACGCATCACTGCTTGAACCCATATAAGTGATCCCACTGTATTGGTCATAACTACTAGTCAAAACAGATGTCTGTGGTTTATTTGAGCTTTATTAAGCATATCAGTCTAATGTAATGTCAGGACCTCTCATTTAATAGCAATGCACACAACCACTGAAATTGCTTGATTACCAGACTCCCCCTAGTGGTTGTATTAAAATTGCAACAAAATCTAAAAGATTTACACGTAAACTCACCTAAAATACCAGTTAGACTTGAATGGTAATGAAAAAAAGACACGATTTTTGAATTGTTGTAATCATTCATTCTTTTATGATACTTTTATGCATTGTGAGATAGAAAGAATATGAGTTTATTCTAAATAGGCTCTTTACCTGTGTGCAAAAGTACTATTGTAGTAGCCTACTGTGGTACAGTGACTGTATCTGATGGTAATTTCTTGGAACTTTGATTTATGTACCATGATATCATAATTTAGTTGTCTAATAAACTTGGCACTGTATATTACGAATATTGTTGGCTTTTTGACAAATCGCCCTTTGGATAAGAGGATTTGCTAAATGCATAAATGTAAATGAAATGTAAAATGATATTTACACAGTACACTAAGGTACTTCAGAGTACCAGTAGCAATGGTATATTTACTGAAAGTAAAATAAATGGTAGCATAACACTTCACAGTAAGGTTCAATTTATTGACGTTTATTTAATGAACAAACAATGACCCGTCTTTTACAGAATTTATTTATCAAGGGTTAATGTTAATTTATAAATATAGATTTATTATTGCTAATTGTTCATTCATTTTTTTGTTCATAGTACATTAATGACTGTTAATTTAAACCAAGTGAAATTATCTAAATTCTCTCTCTGATGTATAGTACTTTTTTGTTAGTTTGAATAAGTGCTTTCCTCATTCAAACACCCGGAGAACAACTATTAACTGTATTAACTATAATTATTAAATATTAACTTTAATTTTTATAAAACATTTCTGGCTTTGAGGGGAGTAAAAATTTGTCAAAGTATCACACAGACCTATTAAATGCAGCACTATTTTCCTGGCCTCCTTTTCTGTAAATGCACACATACATTGACATTTACACAGAATGTCCACACAAACAGTGTTTGCAGGTGTGGTATGGAAACACAAAAGCTGCTCCAACATGACACAGAGCCCAACAGTTTTTGCCATAACTAGGCTTTACACAAGCTTCAGTCTGGATCCAGAACACCTGAGAAGAGATGATGCCAACCCCTCAGAGGACCTCAGATGATGCCAACCCTGAAACAACATACAGAACTACCACATTTTGCAATAAGTTTGATTGCACCATATAATAATTGCTGTTAATAGTGTTCATCGTCTGTTTGATTACGTCTTTAATTGATTTTTCCGTACATTTCTGCCATATGTACATTAACTGACAGTCACCACTGATAAGCTACCACTAAATATTGTAGAAACTTAATTTGCTGTAAAGTTGCTTTGCAATGATTTGTATCGTGAAAAGCGCTGTACAAATAAAATTGAATTGAATTGAACAGTAGCTCTTTTCTGAAAACACAGAGTTCAGAGAGTCCAGTCTAAAAGTATTGTCATGTTGACTCAGTGCGACAAACAGCAAACCACTTGGTGACGTGCAAATCTGCACACACTATCTCAGTTGCATCAGCCTCCTGATAGAATTATTGTGCTTTTCCTCCCAAATTGCATGAAATGATTCAAGCCTCTTACTGTAGCCACGGTACAAGAAACACTTGTGACTTCACACGCAAACACACTAAAACGCTGCAACAAAACAAACATGCTTGCAAATCTCTCATCTGTGTGATTTAACCGCTCCTACTGACTGACCTACATGCTACTTATGGTTTAAATAGCGACCCACAAAATCTCAAAGCAGGCTGTCCCTGTGGTGTTGCACCGGACTGGGAAAAAGCTGAAATCAACCATCATAAACAAACTTGAGGCCAGCAAGAGCACGGTCCAGTCGCTTGGCCAGAGTGTGGGCAGTGTGGAGGTGTGGGTAATATCATCTGCCATGATGTCTGAGTGGCACTTGACCTTCTGGAATGCCAGCGGATAGGATGTGGGCAGCGCTCTGAATAACGATCAGCCGGACACTCACTGTGTTTCCCACAGTATCATATTCACAGGAAAACCCCCCGAGGTTCACCGGAAAGGTCAAGTGTGGTTACCCAGAATGCCCTTTCTGTTGGAATATTTTTAGATTAATTTAATCATTTTCTTTAGCAGATGTGTCATTGAATGGCTACCTATGAAGCAAAATGAAAAAAAATTGGGGCACTTCAGATGGAAATAGGCACATTTGTTTGCTTAACATTTGATTGGCTGGTAGTCCCGAGATTTTGTAAAGTCTGCAGTGATTATATGACCACCAATAACACAAGTAATAAAGACTGGACTTCATGGGCAGACCACACACGTGTCATGACAAACGCTCTCCTCCTCCCATTCGTTCACCCTTATAAACACACTCACACTATTCCAGTGTCGTGTCTACGGTTAATTCAGTGTGCTCAGCTGGGCATTAAATTCAAAATCTGACATGGTGGCCAAAGCATTCAGGCAGGGGCTCCAGATTTAAACCTTGCTGGTCAGTGCACTTTTAATTTTATGAATACGACCTCCTCTCCTCCCACCTGTGCAAACCTACGTGGGGTTTTTATGTCGGGACCCCCACGGCTGTACTGTTAACAAAGACTGCATAGACGCATGCAGTGGTTGTGGTTTTTGCCCAAATGAGTTGGACACTTAAGCCACAGTTTAAAATGCATGGATGGAAGCATTAAACACAAAATCTTTAACATTTTAGATTAGGGAGCATTTCTCTCTATTTGCACATATTAATGCCTTATTCTGCATAATCATATTTTAGACCCCTTAATCCTACCTCATACCTAAACTTAACAACTACCTTACAAACTATTAATAAGCAGCAATGGGGCAACCGTCAGAGTTAATAGTGAAAATTGGTCCCCAAACTAAAGTGTGACCAAAATAGCAGTGGCATCTACAAATGGTGAATGTGATTTCACCAAGTACAACATGTTCCTGGATCAACATCCTTGTTGATCCTGGAACAACATACCAATCAACCAATCAGAATTGAGGGATAGGTTTTCAAGAAATGTCAGTTTTAGGCTTACAATCTGGGTTAGATGCTTCTACATACTTGTTATTCACCTATCATGGCTGTTACTTAGAAAAGTAACAGCCATGTTACTTAGCTAATTTTGCAGTTTTCTTAACTAAATGGTCTCAAGATATTTTCTAGAGGATGTACGAAGTCGGTTCCCCTCAAGTTCACACAAGTGTCTATAAATGTAGTTTATCACATTAACTGCACCATTTACATCATTAAACAGCAGTTACTGAAGTTTTCGAGTGACTCAATAGTTTGTATATTGCTACAGTAATATACAGACACTGAAAATTGTTTTACAACAACTAGAAACAAGTACACTACTGTTCAAACATTTGGGGTTTGACGATTGAAAGGCTTACTTGTATGTGCCAAGGTTGCATTTATTTGAACAATTAAGAACCCATTTTTATTACAATTAAGAATAACTGCTTTCTGTTTTATTCTATTTTATGTCATTTAAATGTTCTTATGAAGCAAAGCTGAATTTTCAGCATCATTACTCCAGTCTTCGGTGTCACATGATCCTTCAGAAATCATTCTAATATGCTGATTTGCTGCTCAAGAAACATTTCTTATTTTTCATCAAAATTTAAAACAGCTGTGCTACTTTATGTTTGTGAAAAGCATGATAACTTTTTCAAGATTCTTTGATGAATATAAAGTTCAAAATGAACATAATTTATTTGAAATAGGAATCCTTTTGCAACAAATGTCCTTCCTGTCACACTTTTGATCAATGTAATGCATCCCTGCTGAATAGAAATATTAATTTTTGAATGTTACTTTTGAACAGTATTGTATATATTAGAAAAGTTCTAGATATAAAAGTATCTTTTGTGGCCATCAATGATGCTCACTACTTCCACGTTGCTTACTTTTGCAGCCCAGAGAAGACAAATTAATATTTCCAAATACCAAAAATAGAGACCTAATGTGGCTACAACAGAAGGCCCCAGTCTGATTTACACTCTCTGCTTTTAAATGAATGCTCAAGTCAGCATCCAGCATATAAAATAAAACATCTAACATAAGTAATTAGCAGAACACATAAACAAACGTGATGTCACAATAGTGGCCTGTAAAAATACAGTAAAGCAGTGTTTCCTGTTCCGATGTCACATAACCATTTTATTGAGCCTTCATTCTTATAACAACACCTGTGCTTCCAAAGGAGGCCAGAATGATTTTGGTATAAACACAAGAGTTACCACAAATTCCCTGACCTTTGTGTGTCCTCAGAAACCTTTGAGAGTCTGTGCGTAATGCTCCCATTCTGTTGCCTTTCGCATCAAATCAGCTCATATAAACAGATGGGAGTTTGTATGAATCAGCCTTTTGTCTTTAAAAATAGAAACATTATGTAAACAAAGTCACCCATTTTATGCTCGCAGGGCTCAAATAACAACGTACAGTCAATGGCATTAGTCTGGTTGTGAAACAGAGGTTGGAAAAGAGATTGGAAAGTTTTGCAACACTTCAGACATGTAGAGATGTGTAAAACCATCATGATGGTTGGTTGAGTAATAAATGTAAAAAAAAAAACACACAACAACATTTTATGTGTAAGCATGGAAAGTTGGCAGATATAAGAGAATACGATATTCACCAGTATGTATGGTAGGAGATGTGGAATCTGCTGAATAATGTGATTGATTGTTCTCTCTCTAGTGTAGTATCTGTAGTCGTGGATGTTTGGAAGAGAGCTGGAGAGTGAGTGTGACGTGTGCAGCCCTTCAAACAGCCTCGAGCAAACCGGCCAGTTGAAATTTTCCTTAGTCTGCCCTTTATAGCTTTATCTCCTTCTGCCCCACTGTCTGTGACATAACTTCAATTCAGCCTGATGTGTCTGCTTTACTTAGATGAGCAGTTCCACAATGGCCCAAAGACCCCATGCAAACAACAGCTACTGGAGTACAATGACAATATATTACAGTGCAATATTAGATTTTCTTTCACAAACGTGCTATACTCACAAGCCGGGCTTTCTTCTTGCTGTGTTCTTGAATGCAGTGGTTTTTCTTGTTTTCTTCCGGTGGATCCCTCTCTAGTTTGTTTCAGTGCAGTGGTGGCACGTCTTCTCTTCTATCCTCACTCCTCAGCCTGATAGAGTGAGTGTGGAGACGGACAGCTGGACTGTGAATGTATGCAAGGGAGGGAAAGACGGAAGAGAGGAGAGAGGGACAGCCCATTCCGACCCCCATACAGCCCCCCTGCACGGCCATCCTCCGCCCCCAGACCCCCCTCGTCTGACCCCCCAGGATGAAAATTCCTGGTCTGCGGCCCAAATTCCAAAATTCCAAATGTGTCCAGCTCAACGACAGAAAACAGCATACAGATTCACACACACACATGCAGCCAACCCCCCTCCATGCACACATATGAGCCAGCCTCCACGCACACACACACACAGGCAGAGACCCCACCTGGTTTCATTTAAACTCACCCTCCACAGCCTGCAACTTTCTTTCTCTCTTTTCCTCTCCAACTCAAGTCACCCTTCATCTCTCCCATCTTTTTCGGTCTCTTGCTCTCTCTATTCCTTTCATTCGGCTGGATATTTATAGCTTGGGAGAAGTTGGTGGAATGTAGACAAAAACTAGAGAGCAAACTAGAAAGAGAGAGAGAGAGGAGGCGAGGGTAGAGTGAAAGAAGGGAGGATAGGACGCACGTCTGCTTGGAAAAGTTGTTCACTTTTTTTGCCATGTCTAAATATTGAAACTGGAGGTACTCGCAGGCTGATATTACTAGAAATGAAAGGAAATGGAATGACTCACGTTCTTACTGCTGGTATACTTTTACTTCAAAAAATAGAGCATGAAATAAGAATTGGTGTTTTGGTCTGTCTATATGCTAAAGTACTTGTCAATGTTAGCAAAATTCACTTTTAACAGATATACATATTTGAAATAATTCTTCTATGGCATTGTTGCAAAACCTGATTTTGGAACATTTATTTTTAAGAGTGTAATACTGAATTCAGAATAGCAACTAACATACTACTTCATTTGACAGAAATCGTAAGACTATGTTAATATAGTATTTGTATTCATAAAAAACATGTCAGTGATATATGCTTTTGTATAGTTGAGGTTTTAGATGTATGTAATTAAATAAATTGTTATACATTGTACCAGTTGTGTCAAGTCACAAAATCAGTTGCGCATTCCTGAGGGATCACATTCAAGCTTCATCAAATTATACAAATAAATAAATATTGTTTTGCTCTGCAAATGACAAAAGGGCAAACAAATCTGTTTGCCATTACTCTTATACCAGAACACCTGTAGAGTAATGTGGTAGGCCTGACAGCTGTCATTACATACTATTATTGCAAAAACACACACGTACACCGTGCCACCATGGCCTGACAAATTGTGGCCCCCTACTGCTTTCCCGTCCCCAGTGGGCCCACACACAGACCTCACACCCATCATGCACCCACTTACCCTAATCAAGCCAGAGGGGTCAGGAGTAAATAGACCATAAAGACTCACATGTAAGCCACAACATCCTTTGGACTGTTGCATGTTATTTACCATTAAGACCCCCAAATTATGTCAGTGAAAACAAGTATGATCAGTGCATAATCTTGTTCTGAACCTCCATCATTACCAGATATACTGTTTTTTTTTTCAGTGGGTTTGCTAAAAGGGAAAACCCACAAAGCAGAGTTAATGAAAACACAATGCAGACAGTGTCTGTGGAAATCATGCTGTGTTTATTTACAAGTTATACACTTCTGGATGCCAAAGGGTCAAAGAATGAAGCAGGGATAGAGGGAGAGGGAGGTGAAGAGATGGACAGCTGGTGGGGGGACATATTTGGGAAAGGATTAAAGAAAGTAGATGATAAACAGGGAAAAATTAAACATCAGGCCTAATATTCATCAGATGCACGACTGCATGCAGATGAGTTCTGAAGGGGAGAGAAAACGTGTAAATGGAGATTCTTCTTCAGTCGTGGTACATTCTAAGGATGCAACTTTTGATAACTCCCATGTACCTGGTCCAGACAGCATAGTACCTGAGAAAAAAGAGGGAGACAAATTTAAAAATGTGTCACAAAATATACTTTTATTCAGCTTGGTCTTATAAGTGCTTGGTCTGTAAACACATGAACATTTGAAATGTTTACTTTGATATTTTGATGTGAAATTCTCTTCACATACACTACCACTGAAAGCTGTTTTTTTTTTTTTTTTTAAGAAATACTTTTATTCAGCAAGGATGCATTATACTGATCAAAAGTGACAGTAAAGACTTCAACAAATAAATAAATGCTGTTCTTATGAACTTTCTATTAAAGGGGTCATATGATGCTGCTAAAAAGAACATTATTTTGTGTATTTGGTGTAATGAACTGTGTTTATGCGGTTTAAGGTTCAAAAAACACATTATTTTCCACATACTGTACATTATTGTTTCTCCTCTATGCCCCGCCTTTCTGAAACGCGTCGATTTTTACAAAGCTCATCGGTCTGAAAAAGCGAGGTGTGCTCTGATTGGCCAGCTATCCAGTGCCTTGTGATTGGCCGATTTCCTCAAGCGTGTGACGGAAATGTTACGTCCCTTACCATATTGTGATGTAATGTAATGACCACATGTAACGACCCCTCTTTATGCACCAAGAGCTTGTAACACTCCAAAGAGAAAGGAAAAATTGAAATCGCATCATATGACCCCTTTAATCAAAGAACCCTGGAAAAAATATTTCATGGTTTCCTCAAAAATATTAAGCAGCACAACTGTTTTCAACACTGATAACTATTAATAATAACAAGAAACTTTTATTAAGCACCAAATCTGCATATTAGAATGATTTCTGAAGGATTATGTGATACTGAAGACTGAAGTAATGATGCTGCAAATTCAGCTTTGCCATCAAGAATAAATTACATTTAACAACAAATTTTATTTTAAAACAGTGTAGTTTAGGATAAATACATACTTTCCAAATGATGTGTTGTGATCAAGTGTTATGATTTAGTTTTTTATAAACAGAAACAGTGGTCAGACCACATAAATGACTGGACAGGAAACAAAGGTGACTACAGATAAAGCAATGTGCGCTGCATAAGATAGTGACCCCCACTGGTTTCAAAGAGAATTTCTCCTGAACAAAGACCTCCATATGCAGCAATTGTTTAAAACAAATCACCTTGCACACTGTGCAACAAATATAGTGAGACTTACTTGAAGGTGTCAAGGATATGTGCCGAGTTAGTATAATGAGTAAGGTAGAGGTTCACGTCTATTGATGTCCATTTGTCTGATCGACAAGGTTCAATAAACTGTGAAGAGAACAAGGAATTAATGTTTTGTGAAAACTTCAGCACTTCAGCTCTGTTAGTGCTCTTATTAAATTTAAACAGTACCTTTTCGACAAGGTCAATGAAGAAATCACGAACATCTTTTGCGTTGATTAATTTGGCAGCAATATTTACAAGGCCCCTTGAGAGATTCTACAGCAGGAGATATTTTGAAATCAAGAATTATGTAGAAAAGCATTTATTTCCCAAGCAAACAAATCCTCTTACCTTAAAATTGGCTTCCATCTCATTGAAGACATTGGTTTTACCCCTCAGAGCAGTGCACACTAAACTGAGTGGATGAGAGGTTTGATTATTCAGATGGCTGAGACAGAGGGAGTAACCATGCAACATTTGGACATGTACAACAGCCCTCCTCAGACCCGTATCTCTCTTCTCCCTGTCCAAATCACTCACTCACACACACCTTTTGTGTTGGTCTAAGAGATCCTTGTCTGTGATTAGAATTTTGAGGTCTTTGAGGTCTTGAAGGAATTCCTTATCCAGATCTACATCCATGTCCTCCATCATGTTATCTAAGAGAGTACAGAGAAAGACATAAAAGGAGATATTTTCATCTCAATATTTTTCTAAACTACACAATTGGTCAGACTGACAGTGTCTATTAATAACCTCAGACTAAATGCTCAAGAACATGCAGATGTCAAATTTAATTCAGAACATTAGGACATTAATAAATCACCCTGAAGGGGTTGATTTTACAATGACCAGTTGACTGTATATTCTCTTCATATTTGGCTCCTTAACAAATAAACGGATATCATTATTAATATATCATATATATATATATATATGCATTATAATAACAGAAATATAATAATATTATTAATATTGTTTTTAAAACTTAATTTTATTAGCTGACTGTATATTATCTTACCCTATTCTGGATTTTAAATGACAACATGACTGACAACAGTTTATCTAATAGCAATACATATATATATTATTTATGTAATAATAAAAAACTTTTAAAATAACCTGAGTGGTAAAGAGACATAATTAAGCAATCCAAATGTAGGGAATCGGCTGCCTGGCATAATGGTCATACAGTTTAGTGGCAATTATACAAACATATTTGACCATTTATTGCCATGATTGACCAATTTCAAGTATTGCAGATGGCTGTGTAACTGGTCTTACCCACAGCTCCAACAGTCCAGTTGTTGATGAGCTGCCCAGCACAGAAGGCGAAGTCCTGGAAGGTTAGATACAGCAACTTTTTCTTCCCCGTCTCAAAACGATTATTGGCAAAGAACACTATTGCAGCATAGTCTCTGGAGGAGGAATTGGCAGGATCATTTAGCAAGAGAAGGTGAAAACACACCAAATCAGCAATGAGCAACTGTTCATGGACATTTGCGTTCTTACAATGTTAATGAACATACAACTGGAAGAATGGATACCTATAGTAAATAAGTAATATAGTAAAATAATCATTTCTAACTATGCTTTGACTGCTCTCTTTTTTTCCCCCTCGTTTTCTGAGCTCAGTTCTACCGGCATTCAGGATTAATTAAAAAGGTTTGGAAAGAAACGTCTCAGAAAGAGACTTTCTCACCTGGCTAATTGATCAGGTAGCAGAAAGTGTTGCCGTATGTTTTCCACCAGGGGGCCCTTGAGTTCTTCCACCACTTTGAACACTCGCTTGAAGTTGTCAAACTGTTTTTAAGGAGATGGATATAATCATTTCATTTCCAAAAGGGCCTCGGAAAAGTATCCAAGCATAAATCTTAGTTACCAATGAGAAGTTCATAATCTTAGGGTGTGTTTATACCTGGCAGGTTTGGTTTGATTAAAACGTACGCTGGTGAGATTGCTCTGTTAGTATGGTTCATTTGAATAAGTACAAACACTGCCAAATAAACCTTGATGCAAACCAAA